CTGTTAGTGTTACACAATATTGTGAAATACTGTACAGTAGTTTGTGCAGAGTTGTGTGTAATCATTGTATTTCATGAGATTGTTTATTGCTACTGTACTGTATGATTAACGCAGAAAGGCACTAACAGGTAAATAAATATTTAAATTTTAATATTAGAATAAGAGTTGAAAACAACGCATAGCTGCAGTAGTTTAAGGATTCACTTACAGAGCAGTGCAGTCCTCTGATTCCAGAGTATCTATCTTTGTCACCATAGTCAAGCCCATTCAAAGACCCCCAACCCTTCCTGTCTATTTCACCCCTGATGGCAGTGACTGTCCCTCAGTCAAGAACAGTGTATTCATGAGATCTGTGTTCATTGGTCAAACATGATCATGTGACAGGAGGGGTTGGGGACCCTTAAAGGGGAAATCACAGATGAATGGTAAAGAGTGTCAGACCTGCTAATCTATCACAGAAATCCCAGATGACCTGGAGAGAGTGACAGACTTTCCAATCTATCAGAGAGAACTGAGGTAAGAGGGGTCAGAAAGGGTTGAATAAGGTTTGTGGATCAATTACTGTCAAACGTATGGCTAGACGGGCAGAACGACCTGCAAGGATTCTGTCTCTTATGTTCTTTTGTTCATTGAAATATAGAATAGTAGTATTAGAAAACATGGCTAATGTATTTTCCAGCTTCTGCAGCCCTGATCCTGTGTCACTGAGTGTCCTGTCTGTGTTTCTTTACAGGGGAGGAGAAACTCAATGGTGAGTAAATCAGTCAGACTCTCTGTGCTGTGTCCTGTAGTGATTTCAGCAGGAGCTCCTCTGTAAATGATCCTGCACCAGTTTTCTAACTGAATTGTATTGTATGTTATTATGATACAAGGTCCATGTAGAACAACTTGTTTATTAACATTTTTCTTTAATTGACAGTTGATTTATGGAAGGAGCTATTAACTGCCAATTTGAAATTGAAAACTTAAACCAATTTGAGTGTCATCAGACACCAGAGCTCTGATGTTCTAAATCATGTCTTATTATTTCCAGCCATTCCTGTCATCCTCACAGAACTGGGTAAGTGATCTTCTGTGTCTGTGAGATTGCAGATCCACCGATACAAACACTAATGAATTATATTTGAGTGCACTGTTGTTCTGCAGTTTACTGTATTCTACTGTAATGAACTGTATTGCACTGAAGTGTATCCTTCTTTTATTTTGGTCAGTAATACACACAGGTATTTGATCAGTTGTGAAGATTAACAAAAGCAAAATAAGCTACAGAGAAATAGAGAACTTCCTGTACCACAATGTAAATAAGGAGATCTTACTCAGTTTTGACTCCCTCTCAGTTTGGTCCCAATGCACATTTTCAAAGTTAATATTTTAATGAAAACTTTAGTTTTAGACCACTTGCATGGGTGAAAGAAACTAACTGGCAGCACAAACTATAAAGTAAGAAATCCTGCTTGTATGGATATCAGTCTTCTTTGCTCTCTTCTAATGTGTCAAAGACACATGTTCTCCACTCTTGTCTGAAAAGTCTCCTTTCAGACTGACAACAGGCCATAAGCCCCCTGTCCTGAGTGAACAGTCTGTATCTTGACACTGTGGGGGTCCTGCCTGTGTCCTGCTGTTACACACAGTGTCTGGTTGTTACAGTACCAGCATCCTGCCACCAGAGGGCACCCAAGCCAGTTGCATGTAACTCATCTGCTCTGGGGAGGCGTAGTTTAATCAGACCTCATTAACCCATCACCAGGCCTCCCCTCCAGCCTACCTGAACCCTGCTCTGTATCCAGAGTGCTCAGTAGAGGGTTAGACCTTGAGAGTTATGTGGTTTGACACTGCTCTGACTGCTTGTGTTCAGCCAGTTGGGCCCCTGTCTGTGTCAGACTGATACTGTCTGTGTGTCAGTCTTCCTGGATCAGGCCTGGTGTGAAGATGTACTCACCATGGAGTGTGACTGGTCATCTCTCACTGTCCAGCTGACGTCCAGAGATCAGGCAGTGTGACCAGTGAGAAGGACATCTCTGTGCCTCTGTCAGTGATACTGGTCACTGTGGGTACAGGTCACTCAGTCAGTGATACTGGTCACTGTGGGTCCAGGTCACTCAGTCAGTGATACTGGTCGCTGTGGTACAGGACTCTTAGTCTGTGTGAGAGCAGCCCACACTTTCACTCATCTGACTGAACAGTGAACAGAATTCAGTCTTAATGGATGGTTATTTAAATATGAAATATCCCTCAGTGCTGGAGACTGCAGACTGTGTTTATTTCTTACCTCTCTCAGTGGTCAAGCACCAGACTCCAGGGTGTCCTTTGATGTGTCTGTGTGTCTTATTGCCTTGTGCTGCTCAGTCTTATTGAGTGAGACTCCAGTCTTACAGCCACTGCTGCTCACAATCACTGACACTCTGATCCACACTGCAGTGGAGACTGGGGATCCTGAAATGGACTGACTGCAGACTGTAGGATAAACTCTGCTATACTAACAGGTAAGAAGCAATTATGGTCTTTAATAAAATAAAGATCTACTCTCTCTCTGCAGATGCTGTGAAGCGAACTCCTATCCCTAAATCACGTATGTACACTGTGTGAAACTTTACTGACTGACAGCACTGACTGTACTGACATTTTATTCCCAGTATGTGACTGTGATTCACAGTGTCTGTATCTCTGTGTTCCAGTGCGTGACTGTGATTAACAGTGTCTGTATCTCTGTGTTCCAGTGTGTGACTGTGATTAACAGTGTCTGTATCTCTCTGTTCCAGTGTGTGACTGTGATTAACAGTGTCTGTATCTCTGTGGTCCAGTGTATGACTGGGATTAACAGTGTCTGTATCTCTGTGTTTCAGAATGGCAGTGGCTGTGCAGTGCTGCAGGTAGGTCTGTTTCCTGTTGAAGATACAGACACAGTACTGCTATTGAGCACTAATATTAATGAGTATTGATTCCTGGTGAGAAATGCACTGATAAAAGAGTAAGGAGAATGAGAATCATATCATATTCCTGTGGAAAACCTCATCTCCTTTCACAGTGATCATGTCGTCATTCAGCCAGTGAAATCATGTCTGTGCTGTACTGACTGAGCTATAAAATCACACAACCTAAATCAAAACCTTTTTACTATAAAAAGCTCACAGTCTGTAGGAGACTACATGTCATGGGTACAAATCATGAGTCCTACACAGTGGAGCATTTTAATAAACAGAGATTACAACATTTACACAACTGATGGTAAGAACACTATTTCACTGCTGACCTCATGATCCTACATAATAAGAATAATATGTGTCCCTGTCACTGTACTTGGGCATGCAGGGTGAGCACCCCCTACTGGCCCCACTAACACCTCTTCCACCTCTTCACCTCTGGGAGAGCCTCAGAGAAAGAAAGGCACTGCAGAGAATGGTCAATATGGCCCAGAAGATCATCGGCTGCGGTCTCACCAAGATTAAACAGCTCTATGAGGACCGCTGCCGTTGCAGAATTCTGGCCATCACAGAGGACAGTCACCACCCCGGGCATGAGCTCTTCACCCCACTGCCCTCAGGCAAGAGATATAAGAGCATACGGACACTTACCACCAGATTCTTCAATAGCTTCTATCCACAAGCAGTGAGACTGGCGAACACAATTAGCCATCCCCCTCGGACCACATCTACACCATCAAATCTACCTCATTGTGATTCCTTATCTATCGCACATCTCCAGGCACTGTTTACACGTCTGTATTGTTTACATTCAAACTGTCTGCATGTTTACTTGTACATTGTCTATTGTTTGTTTGTATATTGTCTTGATGCACTGTCTGCACTTTGTCTTGTTTTTTAAACTTGTTTTACAATCGAGAGACTTTCTGTAAGTAAGAATTCCATTGGACCAGTACCGGTTACATATGGCAATAAAGTTCAAGTTCAAGTTCACTGGTGCTCAATCTCCTTCAGAGATATTAGACGTAAATCCAGCGAACAGCACAGCCTGATAACCCACACGCTGTGACACTATAAACTATATCTTTACATGACCTTTGCCCTGTTCACCTGTCTGGGGTACAACCCCAGTATTGTCTGTGCTGGACTCACTGTCCCCCAGGACACTACAGCTCAGTACTGACCCTCTCCTTCCTTCTGTACAGGTGAAGGCAGCCCCATCATTAAAATAACACATCACAGAAGTCCATTCTTAAATACTTCTATATTACTAATGTATTTTTTCAATTCTTAAAACATGAGCAATAAAGAGGAGGTTTCAGTGTGAATGAAGCTGAGCTCCTGATTTTTAATACTGATACTGTATGTCTGAAGTTCTCTTTTAATTTTAACTTTTATTCTCTTGAAAGAAACCAGTTCAAGAGAGCATTACTGGTCTCCAGTGAATTTTATTACCCCTGACACCTGAATTTTGGTACTATGAGATTCATAATGCAAACTGTAGTGACATTTTTGTCTCAATATGGAGCCCAGTGTGTGTCTGTGATTAACAGTGTCTGTGTCTCTGTGTTCCAGTGTGTGACTGTGATTAACAGTGTCTGTATCTCTGTGTTTCAGAATGGCAGTGGCTGTGCAGTGCTGCAGGTAGGTCTTTCTCTTCTTGATGGTAGACATGCTGTTTTAAGCCCTAGTGTCTGGGGTTCTTGAGGTCTTGAGTCCAGAAGGTCAGTTTAGTGTGAGATGGTCTGTAAACAGAAGGAGATGTATTTCAATCTCATGTTTCTGTAACATCCTACATATGGGCTGTGAAGATCAATCAAAGTATCATGGTGGGAATTACTATCTCTGTCCTGTGTTTCAGTCTAATGGCCAGAGTCTCTCCTGGACTGACAGTATAGAAAACTCATTTTCCCTGAAGGCCACGTGCTCTGGTCTCTGCTCACTCCTGACTGAGGGTCTACAGGCTGAATGTGGCAGAGCCAGTGACTGGTAAAACTGTGGAATATCAGGAGAATTCAGGAGCAGAGCCAGTCTCATAATAACAAGCCATTCAAATCCTAAAGAGAAACACTGTTAAAGGTTGGAATAAAAGGATGGTATAATGACAGTACTCTTCCCCTGCAGTTTCACAGACACACAGCCTCTTGTGAGAGGCAGCAGTGGGACTCTGGTACAGGGGCTCCTCTGGGGCCTGTAGGCCTCTCTCTTGTCTGAGAAATGGCTGCTTCTCTTCACATGTCAACCAGGCTGATGGGTCAGCAGGAAGAAACATTATAAAATCACCTTTTCTTCTTCTGTTTCCTTCTTTCCTCTGTCAGTGTTAATAGGATGTTCATACAAACACAGAACAGGCAGGATGTGCTTCTATACAGAGCACGTTCAGACTGGGGGAATAATAAACATTATTATGCAGATAAACTTTATTTCTAAACAGTTCATGTTGTTGCTTTTTGTGTTTAAAACTGTGATTCAGTCAGGATTTACTTGTTTCCAGTTTTCAGGAGCTGAACCTCATTAACCCCCAGCCCCTCAAAGATTGTTTCCACCCGGAGTGTTTGTGTCCTGAACATCTTGCAGTATCTTGGACAGGATAGAGAGTACAGGCCTGGCTCAGGGTTTGAGGTCAAGGAACCACCTGGACATCAAGTCTGAAACATCAGATTTCTCTCAGTTTTTTTTATATATCTTACTCAGTACACACACTAGGAAAAAATATCCACCCCTCCAAAAAAAAAAAAACTCAAAACAGTAACAGTTCATTTTTTCAGATTTCAAGTTGTAGCAAATGTAGATACTCATTATTTCCAGGCCATGTGAAACATATCTACTACTTCATTATTAGTAGTTTTGAGCTACAGACAATGATTAAGAGACTACTTATACTGGACAGGCTCTTTTTTACAGCCTTTCTATTCTCCAGGAGTAAAAAAATAAGAACTGAGAAGAATCTCTTTGATCTTCACTAGATTGACCGGCAGAAAATAGATGGAGAGTATGGAGAGTATTTATTAAGTATTAAGAGTTTACAGTGAAGTATTAAGTATGAGGAGAGTATTAAGTCAGTATTCATTGGTCATGCGAATAAAGCTTCTTGAATCGATTAAAACCCCCATTCGCGCTGAACATGTATAAGCCCCGCCCCCCATCTCTCAGTGGACAGAGCTCACTGATTGACAGCTGGTGTCTCCTATCAGAGAGACGGACAGCTGAGCGCGAGCAGTCTGAAGTCAGTATGAGCGCCTCTGTTTCTCTCGTCTTTCTCTCCGGGTTTCTGGATGTGTTATTTCTGCTTTAAACTGAACACTTTGGATATTTCTTGGCATTTTCAAAGTAAGTGTGA